TTAGTCACCTCTTATGACACGCATGGCTTATGGAGGAAGAATTCTGTTCCACTTCCCCATGGAGAAAATAATATATCTCTAAACCAAAAATTATTGCATATGGGAAGATTGCTGTTAAATTCATAAGGCAAATTAACCAGTGGTAATTAACATACTAAGTGCATAAAAGAAAATATAAAATAATGCACACAATAGTGCTATTATAAAAATCAGTGCATTAAGTACCAGTACTGCATTAATGAAGTGATGAATATTCATTACATTTCGTGGGCAAAATCATTAGAAAATAAAGAAACTGGCATATTAATGAACAGTATTTTGTGTGTTTTGCAATTTTTGTTATACATAAGTATATTTTATTTACACATGTCAATTAGCATACTAATAATTTTAGAAATATCAATCCTGGGTAAAGAAGGTAATAACATAGAGAAGTTCAACCCCCTCATCTTGAGTCTCCATAAGCGAGGAACCGCCCAGACATATAATGGAACCCTCGTGGAGAACTCCTAACTTGGTTTGGATGTAAGCATTTCTGTTCACAGCCTTGCAGTGGGTGTATAAGTGGATCCTTCAGAAATTTAAATCTGGGTCTATTCAATAAGTATGACCAGGTTCTCTGTGTACACGAGTGTCAGATTTAAAATGTAGCAGAAATTCAAGAACATGAATTACTTACACTTATGTTTTGAATTAAAAAAAAAGCCTAAATAGGACAGTGTATAGATTTTTCTATAAGGGCAAAAAGAAAATGTGTTATAGCAGCAACACAATGAATAATTAACAGAGAACCTAGATATATACAGTGCAATGCATCCAGCAACCATGTGCCTTAATTATAGTGATCTTACACATCCTTAGCATATAATCCTATATTGCCTTAATACTTTAATGACAACTTATGAAGAAGTTAAACCAGAATGAAGTTTATTAGTTTGGTTAAAAGTATTCCCATCAAAATTGCCTTAATCAGAGATTAAGTTTATGAAAAGTTCTAAGCATTTAACTCCGACATATAAGACTTAATATTTCTTGTTCCAAAAAAAAATAATGGAAATATTAAGCCTTATTAGTTTAATTTAGGATCAAAGAAGCTGGACACATTTTTGGAAAAATGACTTTGGAACATCTAATATTTCCTGGAAATGTTAAGACCAGTAAAAATAGCAGCATACAGTTTATGCAACCAAAGCAAATTTGTGTATAGGATACATGGTGTAAAAAGATAAGAATAGCTTCTCAAAGTGGTTACAAATAGCTAAAGATCCTCACATTTGACTATACAGTATATGTATAAGAATTGCATGAGCATAAGAATAAGATTAATAAATTCTTCTGAATTTGAATTATATACGCCTGATTAAATTAATATTTTTTAATTTTACTTATACTATCTCAAATTTTAATAAGCACCAGTTAAATTTTGATTTATTATTTATGCATTTGTTTGAAAACATCCTCAAAATTTCCTAAAGTAAAGAAAATTAAAATGCTAAGATTCTTGATATAAAGATAGGCTATTAGCAATCTGCACTCTACTATGATAAAGTCATTATCTTATCCTGTCACACCATGTAAGTACAAAATATGCATAACGCCATACTCTTGATTTTAAGTATAACAAACATGAGCAAAAAGTAAAAGTCTGGTGAGAGATTATTGAAAGAAAATGAAGATAATCTCAAAATACTACCGCATCTATCGGGGAGGCTGGGGCTCTTTCCTGCAATAAAACAACGAGACAAGGTGTGTCACTCACTACAACAGGCACAGGGTATGCACTTATACCAGCTACCAAGCACTTCTTGATACCAGTTACCAGGGACTGTAGAATACTGAGTACCAAAACAATATTAAGTCAACCTCAAATATCAAAATTCCATTCACTAAACTGAAATCTATTTTATGAGAATGGAAGAGATTTAATATTGTGAATGCATTAGAGAGAAAGCAGGTGAATTATTAATGCTCACAAAAAATATATTTGCAATTTAAGAAATAATGGCAAGCATATATTACTAAAAAATTCTTTTAGTTATCAAAGGCAGAGAAAAACTGAGTTACAGAGTTAAAACAGAAATCATCTTGGAAAAAAATCTCTTATAAACAATGATTTAATTCAATAGCTGATAATGTGTATTCATTATCCAAGCTGAGTATGGATGTGAGGGTAGACTTAACAATGTCATACAGTATCAAAGTAAAGAACAGATATATGGCTACCACTGGTATTAGGTTAAACTGGATCAAACCAAGGACACACAGCTACATCTACTGAACTTGTCATTGACAATTATTCCTAGACTGCCCATCTTCCAAAATATTTTATAAAAATTCAGTTGTTGTTTCAATATAGTCACAGTCAGGCACTGGTTTCTCCTCCCTGGTGCAAAATATTAATGCACACTGGGATTTTTAATGCTTTGTAATTATCTGCTTACAGCAGAAAATGTCCTGATGTGCCATTTTGTTAAAAATCTATGGGAGTCTAAAACAATGGCCAACATACAACAACATTTGGAGTGAGATCAAGGGACTATACAAAAAAAAGTCAGATTTTACTTAGAAATTCTTTGTGAACAGCTATTACTTTTCAAAGAGCAGTCCCTAATCTCTCTCTCTATGAGAGTAGGGTGAGCATTTTCATAGAATCTGTTTTGCTGGCATAATCATCTCAAATCACTTATTTATTTCACTATGAACCAAATTTTCAAAAAATTTTTGAGACTGATGTCCACATGGACATACATAAGCATAGTATATTAATCTCTCTTTATTTTCAGCAATAAACAAGCATTTCATTGAAAGGTAAAAAACTGAAAGCGATATATAAATATTACAGCTCACCATTTTTCAGTAATATGCTACCAACAAAACATGACTTCCATAACGCTTCACTGGGCGGTAAAATATTACCAAATATGAAAATGTAATGAGAGCTATTGTATCTTCTAATACTAGCAAGTATTTCTAGGTCACCATTGGTGATAAAGACAAAACTGGGACACACACACACGCCGCACACACACACACACACACACACACATATAATGATGTCATGTCACAATCCAACAGACATGACCACCTTTCCAGTCGTCACCAAGATGGTCACCATTATGCTTGAGACACTGTGATGTGATTATCACTGTTATGGGGAAATGAAATATCATAATTATATGATGGTCACCATCAAACAAAGTACCATCATTCCAATGTATTGCATTATACTGAAATGGTGACAGGCATCACAGGAAGGTGATTTGGATGCTGAAGTATCGATTAAAAAATACACAGTGAACACAGGATTGGGGAATGGGAAGTGTAACATGGTCCAAAGCTTAGTCATGTTACAAAAAATACAAATAGTATAGCTAAGTAAAATGGAACTGAATATAAATTCAGTTATTTTCTATAAGAAAGCTTATATCTACAAAAAATGGTTATATGGAACCGTCCTAGATTCTAATAATGGAGGTAATTACTACACACTCGGGCAACCTAGAGCAGCATTTTCAATGTGTACTTGACCTAATTGCTCACACTGAGTGACAATCAAAAACATTAACCCTCACACAGGTCAAAATTCTCTATGAATCTTTTAGAGCAATATGAACATGTCATGAAATTAAAGAAAATAAACATGTGACTATTATTACTATTGTCATCTTGTAACATATTCTTAAGTCACTAATTATAACCGTTCAATAGTAACTTACTGCAATTTAATTATTAAGGGGAAGACTACTCATTAATTCTTAAATTAGTACAGTATTATGTATCTAATAAGCAAACAATATAAAAAATTGATTGAATTTTCTGTTTATGCTCAAATGATTCCCAAAGAAGCAGGACCTGTATTACCTATTAAGACAGGCATAAGGTAAAAAATTTCAAGTCCCATTTTAAGGTGAATAAATACTTGAAACTGTTTCCTGAAAGATAAATGCTCATTTCTTCTCATAGAAATACAGTGCTCATTATATTCAGAAACGTTTATGTAAGTATAATATTCCCTTAAAAAGTTTCTTGGAGATATTGTCAGAGTACATCTTCTACGTGTTGAACCAAATAAGCTACTGGTGTTTTGAATGTAGTACTACCACATAAACTGACAAATATACTATATCCAGAGCCTTAATAACTACAATAATAACTACAATACACTAAGTATACGTATCAGCAAACAACAAAGTGGTTTGTACCAATTATGGATCTGCTAACTATGGGCTGTAGCTAATGGCATGTTTATGTGGCAAATACAGGAAGGAAGATGACCAAAATGACTTTTGTAGATCATATTTCTTAATTTACATTTTTGTTAATTTTTGCTAATACTAACATTTTTAAATTACAATCCTGCATTAAGCCTGTTGCCACTAAAACATGCTGAAAGTGAACAAGGCACTTGGTTTCTCTTTTAGCAATACTCTGTTGATTGTTAGCTTTTAACATCTGAGGAGCAAGAGTGTGCTTAAATACATAACAGGCGGCTGCATTCAACATTATCCTAAGTGGGCTCTGTTACTGAGATACATTTGTAAGTGCTTACAGTAACAGGTGAAACATTAAGGTTCATAGTGACTTGCCTTTACTTGATCAAGTAGCAAGTATTTAAAAACTGCATATGTATAAAAGAGAGTACAGAGAAAGCAATTTTATTTTTTATGAAGTGAAAAATAAGCTCAAATATATATTAAATTGTATGATTCTTACATGAGAAGAGAGGGAGAATAATATATTTTTATAATGCTCATGAATTAGTCAAATATACATGTGATAAAAGCAAAAACAAATTACTAACGTACACTGCATACTACCCCATTCAGTGAATTTATTTCTGTGAAAGAAAAATCATGAATATATACAGTACTTAAGAATGTATGCCAACTAAGTAATTTAAGGATTTTACAAGTGGCAAGTGTTTACAGGATAAATATATAGAAGCGCAACATCTAGACCACATGGCAAATGTTTGTCTGTGTTAACAACAGCCGCCTTACTGATTCTGATTCCTGCTCCTCAGTATCCTCAACATCCTCAGTTTCCTTAGTATCGACGATTTTATTTTCCAATTTTTCTACATTGCTAAGGAGGTGCGTTTCCTCCCCACACAAAATATCCTCAGTTGACTCATACTTTTCCTCCTCCTCATCATCATCATTCTCTATATGTTCATAAGCATCTTCAATCTCATCCTGTAAAATTTTGGAGAGATTTCTTATATAGAATAATTACTACCCACTACCTCTTTAAGTGAAGCACCATTTGTAGGCTTGTGTAAATGATAGTTAAATAAAATAATATAGGAAATGTGCGTCATATCAAGGTTGACAATTTTGGTAAATAGTGTTCTCTTTCAAAAATCCATTAGAGAATACATTTACAAAAATATGACTTATATAGAACTATAATCCTAGTTACAACGCACATAAATAAGTCATAAAATAATGATAACAGCTGCAATGACTACCCCCGAAGGCAGAGGAGTCACCAAACAATAAACACTGACCAGGCCTCCCGTTGGTTGGATCTGACCAAAGCGAGTAGTTCTCCAGTTCTCAACAATTAGTAGACCACCATAAATTTTGCCCACTGTTAGCCTTTCCAATGTTAATTCTGTAAAATAAGTAAAAATATGTAAGTATACAAACATAAAAGAAACTGATAATTATATATCTAATGTAATTAACATAATTTCATATAAAATGCACTGCATTACAGTGAAGGAAGGAGAGAGTAATTCCTTACGCCCTCTTTTGCTTATAATTAAAACATTGCATTTGTCAATACTACCACCTTTAAATACATTACATTATTGGACACTCATGCACAGACCACAACTAGGTATAGCACATCATACAGACAATTTAGACATGTGGAGGATGGTGGAATGTTAGGCAGGGTGGTAATTTGTTGTGGAGTGTGGTAATGAACAGTGGCATGTTGAGGAGGGTAGTACTGAGAATATAATAGCACTGCCTTCTAGTTTGTAATCAATGTGCATCAGAAACTTACAGCAAAAATGCCTTGTAAACTGAAAATAATAAAGCTGAAAATCTAAATCTAAATAAAACTGAGGGTAGAATCAATCTTTTTCTTTCTAACACACTGACCATTTCCCACTGAGGCAGGGTGACCCAAAAAAGAAGAAACATTTTCATCGTCACTTAGATATGATAATATAAAATAAGATAAAGTTTATTTCTTTGTAAAGGTTCCAGTGTGTAATTACAATTTTGATTTGCTAAGTACAAAGATAGCCACCATCATGCCGGGGCATTTTTTGCCAGCGGTGTGCTAATTCTACAGTTCAGTTCAATTTTAGCTACATAATTTAAAATCTAACTTACCGGAATCAGGAGGCACTATATAGTCTATGTTCTTTTTGGCTTGGATTGGCCAGAGCTTCTTTATAGTGGCTCGAAGCTCCAGATCTGCTTGGTCCATCTCTTCTGCTGGTCTCATCTTTATACAAAGGTTTTCTCTAATTAAGGCAAATAGCGTTGTTGTAAAATGCACCTGTGAGAGGAAAGAATAAGTGTTAAATAGGCTGATGATGTGGTGAAAGAAGAATCAACAGACCATAGTTACTCATCATCTTTACTGTACAGATACTCTCCTAACAACAACTGATGCCACACAAGCCATAAAATAGTCGCCCCTATTCTATACCATTATATTTACTGCTATCACCTCAAAATACCCAACATTCCTTCACTTTTAAATTATCTCATTAACAAACTTTTTATAGATATTTCATATAAATCAAGCATTCATAAGTTATATAAATTTTGAAAGACATTAAAATTTGTCTAGTGAAGAAGACAGTGAGAGGCTTGAAGCTGGGGTGCACCGTTCATGGCTTAGCGAGGAGAATAAGGAAATTTAAGTAATTTACTACCCAACTTTCTCATGTTTAATTTTTTTTTTAGATTTATGATCTGTACTATTAAGATTTTCTCACTTTTTTTTTAACACAATGACCATCTTCCACTTAAGCAGGGTGGCCTGAAAAAAGAATAAATAATTTCACCATCACCATCTTACCAGAAGTGTGCCAACATTACAACTCGGATGCCTCTCTAAACTGCAATATCTCCACCCCTTCTTCAGAGTACAAGCAATGTACTTCCCACCTCCAGGACTCAAGTCTGGCTATCTGGTTTCCTTGAATCCCTTCATGCTAACACTCCAACAGCATGTCAAGTCATAAAACCACTTGCCTTTATTCACTCCTAACATGCTCACACATTCCCACTGGATGTCCGATCCCCTTGCTTACAAAACCTTATTTATCCCCACCCCTAGCCATTCGTAGGATTACCCCTACTCTGCCTTCCCTCCACTTTGGATTTATACACCCTCCAAGTCATCCTATATTGCTCCATCCTCTCTAAATGTCCAAACTACCTCAGTAAATCCCCTCCTCCTCAGCCCTCTGGATGATACTTGTAGTAACCCTGTGCATCCTTCTAATCACCAACCTAAAAATTCTCAGCAAAATATTCACACCACAAAAATCATACTTTTGTAAGGTTGCAGAATAAGAGGATTTATTGCATATCTTAATCTACAGGTAAGGTTGTCATTGTGGCATGCAAAATTATTTAACTTGCCCATTATCATACCTTGTATTAGGAGCAGTAAATGATATCCATTAAAAAAATAAATGCATCTGATTTCAGAGAAAAAAAAAAACAATCAATATCTCACCTTTCCTTCATTATCTAGTGGCATATTCATTCGTATAAGTTTCTTGTATGCCAACCGGTATGGACATTTGTTGCCAAACCCCAAAGGAGGGTCCATGTTTCTCAGCATATCGTACATTTCTGCATAGTGTATCCTCCCCCTGTAAAATAATATGTTGTATTACAGGTTAAATATACAGGTAGCATTATATTTTTCTGGATAAACATGATGTGCAATGGAGAGAGAGAGAGAGAGTTGACATATGGACAACAAGATGGTTAAAATCGATGTAAATGTAAAGCAGAACTTTTAGTGGGATTTTTTTTCTGTGTAACAGGTTTTTCCAGATGCTTGCAAAACCAACAAGCATATTTATGAAAATGAAAACAAAAATTATCATTTTTCAGAAACATACAGAGAGGTTACAAAGGGTGGATTTGCAGTGCGTTTGGTTAAGAGTTCAGACACGACTATGATACAAATACAATTTGATATGGTCAAAATTGTATGTTCAAGAGAATGCCACTAATTGTGTAAAGAATTCTGGGCAACTATCACTGAACTATCCTCAGCACCTATAATCATAACCAAACCTGTAATTCCTTAACAATTAAACTTGATAAAAGCCATATAGCCTGAACTAAGAGGATATTCAATTCTCTAGCATTCATTGTAACTCCTAAATTTATACTTACACTCATCCAAGTGACTGTATGCATAAAATTACTCAAATTGTCATTGCCTTATTAATCTTAAGTTAGCCTTAAGTTTGCCCAAAATGCTCTGCATATTAAGGGGCTTTCTGCGTGTACACTCAAATGTCATTCGCCTTTGTATGAACATTGTATCATGCTGAAATAAAGTATTATTATTATTATTATTATTATTATTATTATTATTATTATTATTATAACTAAATAATGAGTGAACTGATTCTGCTGAACAGAATGTTGTGTGCTAATTAAGGCAACTTTCAGGCACTAGAATTATGTTCTGTCCTTTTCTTAAATCATTAATTGGGCATCTTGTATCTTTTTTAGGACGTATGGTGTGTGTGGTCTTATCTCCAAGTACACACCGGCAATCCTTACATTGTGTGTTCTGTATGTATACTGGGTGGAACTTTCTGTGTCCTGTTTATAATAATAATAATAATAATAATAATAATAATAATAATAATAATAATAATAATAATAATAGGTAGTAGGTTGGTAGACAGCAACCACCCAGGGAGGTACTACTGTCCTGCCAAGTGAGTGTAAAATGAAAGCCTGTAATTGTTTTACATGATGGTAGGATTGCTGGTGTCCTTTTTTCTCTCTCATAAACATGCAAGATTTCGGGTATGTCTTGCTACTTCTATGTACACTTAGGTCACACTACACATACATGTACAAGCATATATATACACACCCCTCTGGGTTTTCTGCTATTTTCTTTCTAGTTCTTGTTTTTGTTTATTTCCTCTTATCTCCATGGGGAAGTGGAACAGAATTCTTCCTCCGTAAGCCATGCGTGTTGTAAGAGGCGACTAAAATGCCAGGAGCAAGGGGCTAGTAACCCCTTCTCCTGTACAAATTACTAAATTTAAAAAGAAAAACTTTGGTTTTTCTTTTTGGCCTAGTTGATCAGGCCCTGATCCATCGGGAGGCCTGGTCATGGACTGGGCCGCGGGGGCGTTGATCCCAGGAATAACCTCCAGGTAACCTCCAGGTGGGATATGGCCGGTTTGTTGAAAATAATAATAATAATAATAATAATAATAATAATAATAATAATAATAATACTCTTGATTTCTACAGGTACATGATTCATACAGTCTAGCCTTTTACACAGGCAAAACACTGTCTTACTAAAAGCTCTGTTTTACATCTGTGTGTATTTTATCCATAAAGCGCAATGAAATTAATATGTACAATGTTAACAACTGAGATAAGCAAAAATTTAGCTGTAAGTAAATTAATTACTGTACTTTATATAAATATAAATTAATATAAAATTAAAGAAATAAATAGAAGCATACATAACCATTTTTTCCTATATTATTTATTTTATATCTTTGCAAACAGTACACCGAGATTTTGTATTTACAATAGTGGGTTGCAATGCCTAGACATTATGAGCCAACATAACATTATTCACTTACAGACTACTTAGCACTAAGGATTATATCATAGTTGTACAGTACGATAGTACAGTGGACCCCCAACATTCAATGGCATCGACATTCAATAAATCTGACATTCGATGCATTTTAACGTAAAAATTTTGCCTCGACATTCGATGGAAAACCCGACATTCGATACGATTCGTACGAGACGTGTCCATGTGTGGCCTGAACTGCCCCGTGTGTGCCAATGTTTACAAGCCAGCTAGTGTGCGCGCATCTAAGGATACATTCGGTACATTCCATATTATCACTGTTTTTGGTGCTTGTTTCTGCAAAATAAGTCACCATGGGCCCCAAGAAAGCTTCTAGTGCCAACCCTTCAAGAAAAAAGGTGCTAATGACTATTGAAATGAAGAAAGAGATAATTGCAAAGTATGAAAGTGGAGTGCGTGTGTCGGAGTGCATGATGATTTGGTAAAGAAATTGCCTGCAACTAGTGGTGATGTGAGTGAATTTAAGGCCAGCAAAGGTTCGTTTGAAAGATTTAAGAATCGTAGTGGCATACACAGTGTGGTATGGCATGGTGAGGCTGCCAGTTCAAGTCCTAATGGAAGGGGATTCCCCTTCTAAACACTAACCATCCACACTCTCCCATCCTCCCATCCCATCAATCACACCAGATCTTCATTAAAGGTATGTGTCAATTATTCTATTGTTATTAATCTATTGTTATTGTTGTCATTGTAATTATTCTATTGCATTAAACTTAATATTTCATGTGGTAAAATTTTTTTTTCATAGTGTACTTTTGGGTGTCTTGCATGGATTAATTTGATTTCCATTATTTCTTATGGGGAAAATTAATTCGACTTTCAATATTTTCAACATTCGATGGCTCTCAGGAACAGATTAATATCGAATGTCGGGGGTCCACTGTAATTATTTCATAGTTGAACAGTAGATTATTAACCCTTAAACTGTCCAAACATAGATCTATGTTTGCACGCGTAGCGCTCCGAACGTAGATCTACGTTTTTTACATTGTTTCTTATGGAGAAAATTAAGGTCAGAGTGCTACGCGCACAAATGTAGATCTATGTTTGGACAGTTTAAGGGTTAATTATAAGTGAATCAAAATTTTTATAAGACAAAAGATAAATTCATCTATTCAAAAATGCTTTTTGTGAAAACAATGATTTAATTATATTCCTGTCAACAATGGATAAAAGGTTCAAAGTGATTGTTGAAGTTATGATGTGGGAGAACATAAGTGAGTATGTGTGTACTGAGTATTAGCGTTTAGTCTAGGGTGATTAAGTGGCTTTTGAGAAGAGTCCTAAATTGATTTTCAGACCGTGTTACTTTAATATCTTCTGGTAATGAATTCCATATTTTGGGGCCCTTTATGTGCATAGAGTTTTTACACAATGTGATATGGACACGAGGTATATCAAAAAGAGATCTGTGTCTTGTGTTGTGGTTATGTGTCCTGTTTAGGTTGGTGAGAAGAAGTTTGAGTGGAAGGTTTATATTTGCATGTACGTATTGTTCTGTGTATGCAGTAGGCACATGAATAAGTATGGATGTTCTTAATGGTGAGCAGATTCAGACTTTTGAAAATTGGTGGAGTATGCTGGTGGGAGTGGGAATTTATCATCATTCTTACTGCTGCTTTTTGCTGGGTTATTAGGGGTTTTAGGTGATTGGATGTTGTTGATCCCCATGCACAAATTCCATATGTAAGATAAGGATATATGAGTGAATGGTACAGTGCCAGGAGAGTTGATTGTGAAATGTAGTACCTTATCTTTGATAGTATGCCTACAGTCTTGGAGATTTTCTTGGTGATTTGTTGTATGTGTGTCCGGAACTAAAGGCTACTGTCAAGGTGGATACCTAGGAATTTTCCCTCTGTGTGTCTTGTGACTGATGATCCATTTAGCGTTATGTTAATTGGATTATTTGCAGCTTTGTTTCCAAACTGAATGAAATAGGTTTTATCAGTATTCAGGGTAAGTTTGTTAGTCATCATCCAGGCAGATATATTCTGCAATTCGGCATTGACTGTGTTTGCTAGTATGACTGTGTTTGGGTGGGAAAAGACATATGTAGTGTCATCTGCAAATAATATGGGTTTGAGTAGCTGTGATGCATTCGGTAGATCATTGATGTAGATGAGAAAGAGGAGTAGTCCAAGGACACTTCCTTGTGGGACTCCTACTGTGATTGGTTGGGTGGAAGAGTTTGCATCATTTGCATACACATATTGAGCTCTGTTACTAAGGTATGATTTTAGGTAGTTGAGGGAGTGGCCTCTGATACCATAGTGCATTAATTTGGAGTACAGCAGTTCATGATCGACTGTATCGAAAGCTTTACGCAAATCAATGAAAATGCCCAACAGGACTTCTTTCTTTTCGAGTGCGGTATATATTAGTTCTAGCATGTGTATGATAGCATCTACAAAGTAATAAAGGATCACATTATACTGCATTTGTGTCTACTTTTCAACCGTGATCAGTAATATTGTCTGTGATTATCCCCACTAGGAATAGTACACTGGTTCAGGTATGGTCATGTAGGATGCTAACAGATGATACCAGCAAGTAATTCAACATGTTAAGGAAGTCAGCTACCTGTGGGTCTTTATCTTGGATAAGGTTTATATTGAAGTCTCCAGCTAGTATCAAGCAATGTTCATTTAAAGTGTTCATAAGAAAGAAGAAGCACTGTGCAGGCCTACTGGCCCAAGTTAAGAAGGTTCACCTCACACCCACACACTCATGTACTTGTTTAATCTATTTTTAAAGCTACAAAAGCTTGTATCTTCAATGATGCTACTCAGGAGTTTGCTCCACTCCTCTATAACTTTATTACCAAACTAATGCTTTCCTTTCTAAATCTTGTTAACTTGTAATACTTGTGATACAATAAAAAGATGAAAGCATAATTATGTGGCTGATTGTTACTTATTATAAGCTAATAATAATGTTAAAAATGAGTAGATTGTTGCTACTACAGTGGTACCCCAAGTTTCAAACTGCTCCCAA